GCCTTTTTCGCAGAAATGGAAAAACTGATCCTCAAATTCATTTGGGACTGCAAGGGGCCCCAATAGCCAAAAGAATATTGAAAAAGAAAAAATAGGACTCACACTACCTGATTTCAAAACTTACTACAAATCTACGTTAATCAAAACATTGTGGTACCAGAATAAAGATAGATGTACGAAGTGCCCCAGGCTCTCCCAAGCCAGGGCAGTGGGGGGTCGAGGATCTCAGACACACACACACACACACACACAGCCAGCCCAGTAGCTACCACTGAGCCACTGCAGGAAGCGCCCCAGGCTCTCCTAAGCCAGGGCAGTGAGGGGCTGAGGGCCTCAGCCACACCCCTCCCACACATGCAACCAACCCCGGTGAAGACCATCAAGCCACAGCAAGAAAGGGCCCTGGGTTCCCAAGCTGGGGTGGTAGGAGGTGAGGGCTTTTGCCACACACCCTTGACATCTTCACCCAGCCCAGCAATGACCAAGCCACCACTGGAAATCCCCCCAGTCTCCCCTGTGGGAATGAGGGGGGTGCCACAGGCCTCAATTCCACCCGTCCTCCTTTCTCCTCCTTCCATCACGTTTCCTTCCCCTTTCCCCTCTCTCTCTCCCTCCCGACTGCTCCGCAACACCATCCTAGAATGTAAAAAATAATATTAATAAATTACGTTTTCTTTTAAAAAATAAAATAATTGAGTCTCTGGTAAACAGAAAAAAAAAGACGAAGGTACTTCAAAAAGTTCATGGAGAGATTTGTGTTATCTTTTAATTCCATTTTCCAGTGAACTTTTTGAGTACCCTCATATAAACATTGGAATAGAATTGAAAATTCAGAAATAAACCCAAATGTATATGGCCAATTCATATTCAACAAGGGTGTCAAAATCATTTAATGGGGAAAGAATTCTTTTACCAGTGGTGCTGGGACAGCTGGGTAGTCTCAAGCAAAAAAGTGAAGTTGGATCCCTGCTTCACATATATACAAAAGTTAACTCAAATGCATCAACCACCTAAATATTAAGAGCTAAAACTATAAAACTCCTAGAAGAAAACATAAGGGTAAATTTTCATGACCTTGGATTGGCAATGGATTCTTAGATTTGGCACCAAAAGTACAAACAACAAGAGAAAAAATAGATAAATTGAACTTATAAGAAAAGGTCTGACCGGTTAGCTTGAGTTGGTTACAGCATGGTGCTGATAACACCAAGGTCCAGGGTTCAATCCCTGTACCAGCCAGCTACCAAAAACATAATGATTTAAAATATTTGTACATCAAAGGACATTACAGGAAAGTGATAAGGCAACCTGCAGAATGGGAGAAAAATGTTTACAAATCATATCTGATAAGAGTTTAATACCAGAATGTATTAAGAACTCTTACAGCTCAACAACAAAAAGACAACCCAATTAAAAAATGGGCAAAGGACTTAAATAGACAGGTCTCCAAAGAGGATATACAAATGGCCAAAAAGCAAATGAAAAGATCTTTGACATTACTAGTCATAAAGAAAATGCAAATTAAAACCATAGTGAGATACCACTTCACACATACTAGATGCCACAGTCAAAAAGATGGAAAATAACAAGTGTTGGTGAGGATGTGGAGAAATAGGAACCCTCATACTTTGCTGGTGGGAAAGGAACATGGTACGGCTGCTGTGGAAAAGAGTTTGGTAGTTCCTGAAAATATTAAAAGAATTTGGTAGTTCCTCATATGACCCAGCATTTTCACTCGTAGGTATATACCCAAGACAAATGAAAAGATCTGTCCAGACAGAAACTCATACAGGAATGTTTATAGCAGCATTATTTATAATAGCCAAAAGGTATAAACAACCCAAATGTTCATAACAGATGAATGGATAAACAACTTGTGGTACACACATACAATGAATATTATTCAGCCATAAAAAGGAATGAGGTACTGATATGTACCACAACTAGGATGAACTTAAAAAACATTAGGCTAAATGAAAAGCCAGACACAGAAGGTCACATACTGCATAACTTCCTTGATATAATATACTCATAATAGGCAAATTCTATTTTGATAGAAAGCAGATTAGAGGTTGCCAGGGGATAGGGGAAGAGAAGAATGGGGAATGATTACTTAATGGGTACCAGGTGTTTTTTGGGGGTGATGAAAATGTTTTAAAACTAGAAAGAGCTGGTGGTTGCACAACATTGTGACTATACTAACTACCACTGAATTGTACACTTTAAGATGGTTGATTATATGTTATGTGAATAAAAATAAAAGAATAAAATTTTCAAAAAGAAAAAACTGACACGAGAAATAGAAAATATAAGTAGTTATACATTCAATAAATTGAATGTGTTATTAAAGCATTCCCTCAAAGAAATTGGAAGCCAAGTAACTTCACTAGTGAATTCCTCCAAACATTTAAGGAAAAAATACCACTCTTATATGACTCTTCCAGAGCACAGAAGTAGAGGAGATATATCTCAACTTATATAGTGAGGCCAGCATCATTTTTATTCCAAAGCCTGACAAGGACATTACAAGCAAGGAAATTATAGACCAATCTTTCTCATGAACAAAATATTAGTAAACCTAATTCAGGGACATACACAAAGGGTAGTATATCACAACCAAATGGGGTTTGTTCCAGGACTAAAGGCTATTTCAATATTCAAAAATCAATCAATACATTATACCACATTAACAATAAAAGGGAAGAAAAAACATAATAAAGCATTTGATAAAATTTAATACCTATTCATGATTTTTTTTAAATCATTGAACTAGGAATAGAACTCTTTTTCCTACAAAAAATCTGAAGAAAATGTCACACTTAATAGTGACATTCACTGTCCCCTCTTTTATTTAGCATTTGTACTGGTGGACCTAGCCATTGCAAAAATAAATAAAAGAATAGAAAGAAGTTAAGTATATGAAGATTAGAAAGGCAGAGTTTAGGGCCGAGCCCGTGGCGCCCTCGGGAGAGTGCGGAGCTGGGAGCGCAGCAGCGCTCACGCCGCGGTGCGGCTGGTCTCAAAAAGGACAAAAAAAAAGGCAGAGTTTAAATTGTCATTATTTGCAGACAACATAATTGTCTACGCTCAGAAATCAAAAAAATTCTACAAATTATTTAGAATTAAAATATATGAATTACCAAGTCACTGTATACAAGGTCAATATACCAAAATTGCTTTTTTCTATATGGTAGCAAGAAACGATTCGAAAATGAAAAAAAAATTTAAATACCATTTACAGTAGCATCAAAAATTACCAAATACCTTGGAGAAATGTGTCTAGTGGTTAAAAATAAAAAATAGATGATATTGACACAAGGCATATTAGTTTTCTAGGGCTGCTGTAACAAAGTACCACAAACTGGGCGACTTAAAACAACAAATTTAATTTCCCACAGTTCTGAAGTCTTGAAGTTTGAAATCAGAGTGTCAGCAAGCCCGTGCTGTTTCTGAAGACTCTAGGGAGGATCCTTCCTTGCCTCTTCCTAGCGTCTGGTGGTTGCCGGCAAACCTTGGCATTCTTTGGTTGCATTGCTTCAGTCTTTGCTTCTGTCTTCACATTGCCTTCTTTTCTGTCTCTGTCTCTGTGTGGACTTGCCTCTTCTTCCAGGGTTCACCCTAATCCACTATGACCTCATCTTAACTAGTTAATAATCTGAAAAGACCCTTTTTCCAAATAAGGTTACATTCTGAGGTTCTGGCTGGATGTGAATTTGAGGGGGGACACTATTCAACCCAATATACAGGGATAGGCAAATAGACCAATGGAATGGAATAGAAATTCTGGAAACAGTCCCACATTTTGGATATGCCTGATTTACAACAGACATGCCACTGTGGTGCAGTGGAGAAAGGACATCTTTTCAGTAAATGACGTTGAGGCAAAAGAAAATCTGTATGCGGATAAAAAGAATCTTAACCCCCTACTTCACAGCATACATAAAGACCAATTTCAGATGGTTCATAGATCTGAATGTGATAGGTAAAATAACATTGTTTTAACAAAACACTTGAGAATTTCTTCATAGGCAAAAATTTCTTTAACTGGACACTAAAAGAACCAACCTAATTGGGAAAAGTTGATAAACTGGACTTCATTTAAATGTAAAAGGTTTTTAAACTGAACCTACCAAGTAGCGGCAAAGATGTGGAACAACTAGCATTCTCATGAACTATCATCCATAGCAGCAGAAATTGGTATAAGCACTTTGGACCAGTAATTTTACTCCTAAGTATATACTCAACAAAAATGAGTCCACTAAATATACGACAACTAAGAGACATGTAGAAGAATTTGTGTAGCAGCTTTATTTATAATAACCCAAAACTGGAAGTAATCTAAATATTCATCAGCAGTAGAATGGATAAATAAATTGTATTATATTCATACAATGGAATACTATATGTAACCAATCACAAGAGTATATACCAATTGATCCATTTATGTGAAGTTCAAAACAGTCATAGTTCATCTGCAGTGATAAAAATCAGGATAGTAGTACCTCTAGGGGCTGGATATTGATAGGGAGGGTCATTTTAGAGGGGTGCTGGAAATGTACTATATCTTGATATGGGTAGTAGTTTATATGATATATGCCTTTTTTTTTTTTGAGCTGTATGCTTAAGGTTTTTGTACTTTATTGGATGTATGCTACACTTAAATTTTTTAATTAAGAAAAATGTGATATATTAAATATTATTGAAACAACTGGACTATCATTAATATAGAAAGAATTGAGTCATCTTCATTAAAATATGAGATTTTGTTTCAATGAGATTTCACCAGATCTTACATTTAGGTAATATGTCGTGGTTTGCCAGGTACTTTCCCATAACATGGTAAGAGTTATGTCATTTGAGTGTATTCCAGGATAAAAATTCTGTATTTTAAACCATAAGTAATATAAGGTAATAACAAAAATTGGGGGGGGGGTTATCATCTTTTTCAAGTTATCATATTGGAAGTCTCAGTATCACACTGCTTGTTTCTGTTTTTTTAGGCTAAGACATCAAGCACACAAAGAATTTTATGCCTACAAACAGGTGAGAAATTTAACTCAGATTGCCTTGGTTGTGCTTTTTCCCCAAAAACTAAGAACTCAGGGCTGGCCCGGTGGCGCGCTTGGGAGTGCGGCGGCGCTCCTGCCGAGGGTTCGGATCCCATGTGGAGACCGGTTCCCGCTCACTGGCTGAGCACGGTGCAGGCGCGACACCAAGGGTTGCGATCCCATTGCCGGCCCCGGTATGGGCACAACACTGAGGTTTGCGATCCCGTTACCGGTCAGTAAAAAAAGACAAAAAAAGGAAAAATAAATAAATAAATAAAAACTAAGAACTCAGATTTCCACTCATATTTTAAACCAGGACTGGTTTACTGTTGCTTTGTGTTGCTTCATTGCCGGCCCTGGTATGGGCACAACACTGAGGTTTGCGATCCCGTTACCGGTCAGTAAAAAAAGACAAAAAAAGGAAAAATAAATAAATAAATAAAAACTAAGAACTCAGATTTCCACTCATATTTTAAACCAGGACTGGTTTACTGTTGCTTTGTGTTGCTTCACCCCCCACAGATTTGTCACCACACTTCCCCTGGGTGACAGAAATGCAAAGGATTACTCAAAGCCCATCTCTTCCGAGCAGTGAGAGGCCCCAAAGCAGTTAACTTCCCTGGAACCCTCCAGGGAGAGGGGTCCCTTCCTCAGGAAATTAGCACCGAATTGGGGTTCTCTTCCTGCATTTATTTTCCAGACCAGGAAGTTACAGGAAGAGAACAAAGGTAGGGTTATAGTTTAACAATATAGGCTGGTAACTTTCAGTGAAACAAGACAAATGACATTCCAGTAAGCCTATCAACAAAAGCTTTGATCTTAACAAACATTCCTTCTCCCCCCACAGTTTCTCAGTATCTTTACATAACAATCACTAACTAGTCTGTCTTTGAGCCAGCAACCTGCTGTGCCACAATTCTTTATCTTACACCAGAGACTTATAGCCTGAGGAAAATTTCCTGTCCTTGCAAGGTCAATTTTTGAAACTGCAAGACTTTGGAAAACCGGGCCCTGTGAAGTACATATGCTTTATAATATATTCCACAGTTTACTTGTGTTCACTTTAGCATTTCATCTGCATTTGCAGTGTTTTGAAACTGCAAGGACAATTTTTGGAAAACCGGGCCCTGTGAAGTACATAGGCTTTATAATATATTCCACAGTTTACTTGTGTTCACTTTAGCATTTCATCTGCATTTGCAGTACAAAATAGATCAATTTATTTTCTTAAATATTCTTCTTTTCTTTCATAAGTATTATTTGAAGCTATTGAAAGTTCAGATGATATAATAATATAATTTAACAGGGAACTTGAGCCAACATGTTGCTAAAGAGAAATGCTGTCACTTGTAATCCTTAAAGTTACTGTTAACTTAATGAAATTCAAAGATTCCGTTAAGTGAATTTTTTTCATCCTTCTCCATTAGAAGACATAGCAGTTCCTCAGAGATGACCAGTTGTGTTACAGTGATCTCATTGACTCCCTTTTGTACACTAGAAGTCTACAAACTTGAATCATATCTGTTAACACCTAGCCTTCACTGATTTGTTCTTTAAGTTAATAAACTTAACTTTTCTTGAAGGCCAAGTAAAAATAGGTTTTTTTCCATGTGTCATCCATTACATTTTATCACTGACACCAAACAGTGGCCTAGATTTTTCTTAATTCTCTTTTGGGCATAACCATGAAATTTTTGTTGTCCTTAGCATTTTTAAAATTTTTTTCAATTTTTATATTTTTGCCAATTTCAGCTTATTTGGGTCTTTAACCTTGCCTGGTGCTGTTACAGGACCATGTCACCATTAGGTTTGCATGTGCGTGTATCTTTGAAATCTGAGCTCATCCCTAGATGTACATACCAATATCCTTAGGTGACCCCCCATGTTCCATAGGTCTCATATGGGATTCATAATTTGATCTGAATGCTTTAGTTTTCTAAATGAACGAATCTTTTTGTGTCAGTTCTATCATAGTCTTGACAACCTACAAGATATTTGTATGTAGGCTAACTAGAAAGTAAAATTGGCCTTTGTGGTCAGTTAATAGGTGAAATTGATGATAGAACTAATCAAGTCACATGACAGATGATAATTTTGATCTTTAAAATATACCAAATAGGAAATTTAGTACATCCCTATGTAGTTGGATGGTTGCTTCTGGTTGTGACTTCTGAAAATGTGATTTGCCCTCAAAATCACTTTTAGTTCAGAAATGTAAGACACACAAAATTTAGAGATTTTTCCCCAATTTTACTTGCCCATTTTTCCACTTTAAGATAAAATTTAACTCTAGTAAACTATGTTTATTCTCAGAAAAAGTCTTTTTAGATAGTAATCTGCTTTCTTATCACTTGGCATTCATTTTAACTGATGTCCAGTCACCAGAGTCAGGTTAGGGACAATAATTGGATGAATTTTTGGCCCATTAACATAACTCTGGGTCATACTAAATAAAGTTTACTGAGGACATTGATGTATAATAATAAGCAAAACTTTCAAAATTAAGATTGACTTTACTTTTAATCTTTTATAAATTACTAATCAGTCAGTCCCATCAGCCAATGCTGTGTTTTACTGGATCCTGAGGCAGTCAGTCTCATTTATTTTCCCCCTATCTTAGCACTTAGTCTAGATGGGCATGTGTTAATGTCTTTTCTCAAAATTTAACCTAATCTCAAAGAGATTTTAAAACTGCTTCTCAGGAGAATATTGCATCATTGCTCAAGTTAAAAGAATGTTGCTAAAATGTTCTTTCTCAAACTGTTAAAGATTCTTTCCAGTATTAAATATGAAAGCAATGAGCTATACAAGATAACTTCAGAAGTTCACGGAAAAATTCATATTATGTTTTATTTTTCAACAAACTTTTTGAAGTAGCCTCATATATATACACAAAAGAAAAATATTTGGGGCCAAGCCCGTGGCGCACTCAGGAGAGTGCGGTGCTGGGAGCACAGCAAGGCTCCCGCCGCGGGTTCGGATCCTATATAGGGATGGGTTCAGATCCTATATAGGGATGACCGGTGCGCTCACAGCGCTCACTGGCTGAGCGCGGTGCGGCCGGTCTCAAAAAGGACAAAAAAAAGTATTAGTATAATGAGAAAATTTTTCAATTACAGATTTAAATGGGCATAAGAACATACTTTTTGTCTTACAGGTTATATTAAAAGAGAAAGTAAAAGAACTGAATTTACATGAGGTAAGTTTTTTATGTTAATTTTTTCTTGAGCTATTTTCTAATAGAAGTAGTATGCTGTGGTATGCTTAAACACCTTTATTTTCAGATGTTGAAAAAAATTAGCCTTATTTTTATCAGCTTAATAGCATATTTGAGGGTGAGGTCACATAAAAATCAGTTGTGTGGAGGCTTTAAGAGAGTAGCACAAGCTGGCCGATTATCTCAATTGGTTAGAGCATGGTGCTGATAATACCAAGGTCCAGGGTTCGATCCCTGTGCCAGCCATCTGCCAAAAAAATAAAAGAAAATAAAACAAGAGAGTAACATAACTCATATTTTTAATAGGAATGGTGCCAATGTAAAATTTCAGTGTTTCATTTGGTGAGACATAGAAAAGGGAGAGAGCGACCCAAGCCAGGCGCTGTTTCAGCCAAAAGGCTTTATTCCACTAACGTGGAGGGGAGACTAAGCCAGATCAGTTGCCCCAAACCAAGGAAAGCAGGAGGTTTGTAAGATTTTTAGGGAGGGTTCTTACAGGGCAATGGGCAATTTCAAAATCGGTGGTATGTAATGTGTCATAGCCCTTGTGGTCCAATAACATCTGGTCGGTTTGAGCATAGGCTTCTGAAGCATTCCTTCCAGCCCAGCCCAATTGCCTTAAGCTGGCCATGAAGCGTAATACATAGCAGCAGGGATGCTGCTTGCTATCCATGCTGTATGAATAGGAGATAGAAATAAATTAGTTTTTCTACTCAAGATGAATTTGCACTAATTTTACCCTTGAAAATGTTCCCAGTATTTCCTTCTTACAAATGGCACAAAAAAGGCAGTAATTATTTCATGGCGGTGAGGGTTTGGGGAGGTGAGACAGTGGGATGGAATAGGGGAAGAACACATAAATAGAGAGGTGAATCCTTGGGGTTTTCTAGCCATTAGGTTGTATGGTTGGTTCACAGGTGCTTACTATGTTGTTATGCTTTGTAACTTAAGTACAAATGTGGGTGTGTGTGTTCTGTATACTTTAAAATACATAATCTGTAAGAATTCTTTTTAACTGTGTTCCTTGTGTTACCTCTGACTACAAATGTTCAGAATTTTTATTTTTATCACCCTTTCCCTTCCTCCCTTTCTGAGTTTTTAAATTGGTGTTTAAAGCAAGGACTTGGAACACTGTATTTTATAATACATGCATTTTCTATCCTTTTCTTTTCAGTATACCTATATAATTATATTTGAAGTGAATTTTCTTACAGACAGCATATAGGTGGGTCGTGTTTCTCCCCCCATTTGTTTATTTTTTTAATTGAAACATAATTGATTGTACATATTTATGGGGTTGCAGAGTTGACTATCAGTATTTGTGTACAATATGTGATGATCAAATCAGTATTGTAGCTATGTTCATCATTGCAAATCATAATTATTGTTTGTGTCCTTTACCTAGTTTCTCCTAACCCTCCTCCCCCTTCCCCTTAAGGGTCATATTTTTTATCCACTCTGCCAGTATGCCTTTTAATTGGTATGTTTAGACCATTTACATTGAATGCAATTATTGATATGTTTGGAATTAGATATGCCATTTTATTATTTGTCTTTTCTCTTTTTCATTCTGTTTGCCTTTTCTTGCCTTCTTCTGGGTTATTTGGACTTTTTTAGTATTTCATTTTAATTTTTTATTTATTGTGATTTTTATTTTATCTCTTTGTATAATTTTTTAGTGGTTACTATAAAGATTACAAAATAAATACTTTACTTAGAATCATATTTTTAGCACTTCAGTTGGGATGCAGAAACCTTGACACCATGTAGGTCTTTATATAGTAGCTGTCATATTAGATCTATATATATATTGAAAATCCCATCAGACAATATTAATATATTTTACTTTTAACCATCAGACATATTTTTAAAAACTCAAGAGGGAAAGGATAGTTGTTGTATTTATCCAGATACTTACCATTTCTATTGCTCTTCATTCCCAGTGCTCCAAGTTTCCTTCTTATGTCATTTCCCTTCTATCTGATGAATTTTCTTTAGTAATTCTTTTAGAGTAGGTCTGCTGGCCATAAATTCTATTAGTTTGCCTTTACCTGAAAATGGACATAAGAACTTTCATTCTTTTTTTTTTTTTCCTTTTTGTCTTTTTTTACTGACCGGTAACGGGATCACAACCCTCGGTGTTGCGCCCGCACTGCACTCAGCCAGTGAGCGGGAACCGGTCTCCACATGGGATCCGAACCATCGGTGGGAGCGCCGCCGTGCTCCCAAGCGGCGCACTCTCCAATGTGCCACTGGGCCGGCCCAGAACTTTCATTCTTGAAGGATATTTTTGTTGTATATAGATCTCTGGGTTGATAGTTCTTTTCTTTCAACACTTTTAAAATGTTATGTCACTTCCTTCTGCTCCTCCATGGTTTTTGATGAGAAATTCACAGTCATTTGAATGATTGATCCCCTGTCAGTAATGCCTCAGTTTTCTCTGGCTGGTTTTCTTTGTCTTTGGTTTTAGCAATTTGATTATAATATGTCTGGGCATGGGTTTCTTTGGATTTATCCTGTTTGCAATTTGCTCAGCTTCATGAATATATAGGTTTGTCTTCAGCCAAGCTTGGGAAGTTTTCAACCATTATTTCTTCAAGTTTTTTTCTGAATTTCATTTTTTCTCTTTCTGGGACTCCAGTGACACAAATGTTAGACCTTTTGTGGTTGTCCCACAGTTCCTTGAGGATCTGGTTTTCTTATTTTTCAATCTTTTTCTCTCTGTTTTTCAGATTGGGTAATTTCTATTGTTCTGTCTTCTCATTCACTGATTCTTTCCTATGTCCTCTCCATTCTGCTGTAGAGCCCATCCCTTAAGTTTTTGATTGAGGTTATTCTGTTTTTTAGATTCTACAATTCTCATTCATTTTTTTCTTATATCTTTTATTTGTTTGTAATAACGTGTTTTAACATTTGTATCAAGCTTTCATGATTGCTCATTTGAGCATTGTTATAAAGACCTTAAAGTAGTTCTTGTCTGTTTTATGATTCCAACATCTGTGTCATCTCATCATTAATGTCTGTTGATTGTCTTTTCCTGTGCATTGTGATTTTCATGATTCTGCCATTGAAAAGCTTTTGTATCTTTGTCAAAATCAGTTGGCTATCCAAAAGGGATTTGTGGGGTCGTCCCATGGCTCACTCGGGAGAGTGTGATGCTGATAACACCAAGGCCCCGGTTCGGATCCTATGTAGGGATGGCCGGTTTGCTCACTGGGTGAGCATGGTGCTGACAACACCAAGTCAAGGGTTAAGATCCCCTTACCAGTCATCTTTTTTTTTTTTTTCTTTTTTGTCTTTTTCGTGACTGGTAAGGGGATCGCAACCCTTGGTGTGGTGTCGCCCACACTGCGCTCAGCCAGTGAGCGTACCGGCCAGTCCTATATAGGATCCGAACCCGCGGCGGGAGCGTCACTGCGCTCCCAGCGCCGCACTCTCCCGAGTGCGCCACAGGGCTGGCCCTTACCAGTCATCTTTAAAAAAAAAAGAAAAGAAAGGATTTGTGACTAAACTATATAAAGAAGTCTTACCACTCAATAATAAAAAGAAAAATAACCCAAGTAAAAAATGGGCAAAAGACTTGAATAGACATTTTTCCAAAGAAGATATACAAATGGCCAATAAACACAACATTATTAGTCATTAGGGAAATGGTCACTTCACACACTCTAGGATGACTGTAATCAAAAACACAAACAATAATAAATGTTGATGATATGGAGAAATTGAAACCAACATACACTGCTTGTAGGAATGTAAAATGATGCAGTCACTTTGGCAAGTTTGTAGATCCTCAAAAAGTTAAACATAGAATTACCATATGACCCAGCAATTCCACTCTTTGGTGCATACCCAAAAGAATTGAAAACAGGGACTGAAACAGATACTTGTACACCAGTGTTTATAGCAACATGATTCACAATAGCCAAAAGGTAGAAACAACCCAAATGTCTATCAACAGATGAATGGATAAACAAAATATGGGATACACATACAATGGAATATTATTCGGCCATAAAGGTGAAGTACTGATACATGTTTCAATATGAGTAAACCTTGAAGACATTATGCTAAGTGAAAAAAGCCAGACAGAAAAGACCATAGATTGTATGATTCCATTTATATGAAATGTCCAGAATAAACAAATCCATCAAGACAGAAAGTAGATTAGTGCTTGGTTGCCAGGGACTGGGGAAGAGGGAGAATAGGAAGTGACTGCTTATGGGTATGAACTTTTCAGAGGAGTGGGTGATACAAAAGTTCTGGAATTAGATAGTGGCGATGGTTGCACAATTCCAAACAGACTTTAAAACTGCTGAATTGTACATTTATTTGAAGGAGTGAATATTATGGTATGTTAATTATATCTCAGTTTTTTAAAAGGCGATGGAAAGTCACACTGGAGAAACAATCTTTCATTGAAATACTGGAAAGTAAAGTTCATTTGCAAAATATGATCTGTAAAGGGAAGTTGTAAAATAAGTTTAGCCCTCAGAGAACTTCTGGGAAGTCAAATCTGAGGCTTCAGTTTTTTAAAAGGTGATGGAAAGTCACACTGGAGAAACAATCTTTCATTGAAATACTGGAAAGTAAAGTTCATTTGCAAAATATGATCTATAAAGGGAAGTTGTAAAATAAGTTTAGCCCTCAGAGAACTTCTGGGAAGTCAAATCTGAGGCTTTTCTTTTTTTGTGATTACTCTTAATGTTTGGTCACCATTTGCACTAAATATGTCACAATTATTTTGAGGTATTTTTTTTCCAGGTGGCTGTAGTCTTAAATTTTGTTTATTTAGAATATAATAGCACACTATAACCATTAATAGAAACTTCACTTTGAAAAGGCTACAAATCTAACTTTAGATTTTGGAAAAATAAGTGAATAAAAATGAACAACTTGCATTTCAGTAGGATCAGTGCTGAATCTCCACAGGACAGTTCTGACTCTGTTTCAGAAGGCTGTGCTGTGGGGGAAGCTGGCTATTGAAGGCCCAGCAGCCTGTTCACACAGTGTGAGAGGTGGGAACATTGTTCTCCCTTTACAGGTAGAAAGCTGAGGCCCAAAAAGGTACCCCAAGGCTGAAACTGCTAGTTTCTTACCCACAGTTTGTTCTCAACCTGCCTCCAGAAAACAAAAACAGTCTTGACAATAGTGCTCCCATTACAGAATGTATACATTAATGGAAACAACTGGTATTGGTAGACTGCTTTACTGCATCCTCAGCCCTTCCCCCCAACCTGAGCTGATGACAGTCCTGTGAGGGGCAGAGCAGGTCATGTCTTCATTTTACAGATAAAGGAACAGTGCTCCGAGGGATATCATGAGGGCAGAGACACCACAGTTAGTGGGTGTCTGAGCCGAGCTGCCTGTCCTGCTCTCTCCTTCCTGCTCTCCTGCCATCTTGGGGAGATGTAGAGTTTGACAAGACATAGGTATTCAGTCTCCTCCTGGGAAGATCCTGTCTGCTGTACACACAAGGCCCAAGAGCTGCCTCAGCAAGAGTATTGGAGGACCAACATTCACAGCACTGGCCACGGCTCATGCATAACCTAAGAAGACTGGATTATGTGGTATAGGTTAAGAAACTAGTGACAGTGAAGCCCTGTCAGTAGGCTGGGCAAGAAATGGTGATGGCTTGAACCAGGTTCCCTGGGGATGGACAGGGAAGTAAGCAGAGAGGAATTCAGCCATTGGGTGGGAGATGGAAGTGGTATAGCAGCACATCAGTGCAATAGACCTGGGTCCCCAGACAGGCCTGGCCACTCCCCAGCTGAATGGCCCCAAGAAGTGTGGTTATTGCTCTGAGCTTCTGTTTCTTCATCTGTAAAATGGGTAAGTGCAATGATGCATGGTATCCATGGGCACTGGTAAGTGCCCCAGAAGTTTTTGGAACCCAGCATGTGGGTATGAAGACCTCTTTCCAAGCAGTGGAGACAAGTCACCTTTCAGAGCAGTCCTGGCCCCATCTGCACATTTTCATAAGTTATAATTTAGTGACTCTTTAATAACTTTTTATATGACAAAGACACTGACAGAAGGACAGTGCCAAAGTGGGAGGACTGAGGAACTATAAATAGCATGTTCCTGCAGGTTGTACTGTAAAGACTGGGGAGAGGATTGCCAGGGCATGAGCAGTATCTTTCAGTGAGTGCTCCGGAGCCAGGGCAGCAGTGCTGGGCAGGCAGAGCATTCCCAGGGAAAGTCTGTCCCTCAGAACACCCCAGGAAAATGATAGTAGGTCAGTTCTGCATTCATGACAGTAACCCTAAGTCACACTCTTCTGATGCACCGAAGTAAAGGAGGCTGCCTCTTGCTTTCTGTCCTCTCCTATCTGCCACCACTTTTTAACACGTGTGATCAGATAAGCTTGAAACACTTCTTCAGAAGACCTCATCCATTCTAGCCTGTTTCTGTCACTTAATGAGTTGTGGGATGTTATAAGTCTCTTCCAATGGCTGGACCTAAGGGGCCTGCACTCTACTTTGTGGCCTTGGAGAATACTTAGCAGACACTTGGCCTTATTTGTGCATTTGTCTTTCAGCTCTGTGCAGTATGTCTGGAAGACTTCAAGCCTCGAGATGAGTTGGGGATTTGTCCATGTAAGCATGCCTTCCACAGAAAGTGAGTATTGGTGTGGAATTATTTAATGGGATCCAAGTTTGAGGTACATCAACCAACTTACTTGTGGGCTTTGGGGCAATGCCAGACAAGCTTGATGGCTTCATGATTGGTCTATAATGCAGAAGGCTGACAGCACCCGACAGGGTGGGGGTGTGTGTGTGTGTGACATTAGGAGGAATCAGAGTGGTGGGACGTTACCACCATGACAAGACTTTGGGCAGAGAGCCAGATGAGCCCACACCTCTTTGGAGCCCAGGCTATAAACAGCTGTTTAGCTGGAACTTTCCAATGAGAGCTTTCATCTCCTAAAAATTTATTTTAATCAAAACCATAGTTATTTTGGATCAAAATAAATAAAGGCTGGATATAAACGATAGGGTGGTACCAATCTCCTCCCCCATCCTGTAGACATATTAATATTTCCTCTTCTCTTGCAATTTTATGTGTTTTGTATTTCTATTAGAAAATTTTACTTTTCCTGCTTCCTGCTCCCTCCTCAGTGTATTGTTCTTCTCTAAGAAGTCGTGGGCAACTGAGGGTATAATATGCTGACCGTGGCTTGTTAGTATCACCTTGTGTGAGACAGGAGGCTCTGGTTCCCCCAGAGGATGCTGTGCATCCTCTACCTGGTGGTGGAGCTCCTTGGACCCTACACCAGACTCCTAAAACTTGGGCTCTGGGTGACAGACGTGTTCACTGTATATGACAGCAACAGGTGCCATGAGCATGGGACTGATGTCTTCCCCCCTGTGGCATCTCATTCTGCAGGTGCCTTATTAAGTGGCTGGAGGTTCGGAAAGTGTGTCCCCTATGCAATATGCCAGTTCTGCAGCTGGCCCAGTTGCACAGTAAGCAGGACCATGGACCCCCACAGGGGCCCCTCCCTGGGGCAGAGAACATTGTATAGCTCACCATGAGGATCAGACTTGCTGGATACGACATCCACGTGGAACCAGGAGGAGCACAAGCTGTCTCTGTGTTGGCTGCTCTCTACCTGGGGCACCAGCTGCCACTTCCTTTGCCTCTTAAAGAATTCTTGGGCCATCCACACTGGGAACCTAGGCATCTGGGTCTTGTGACAACCAAAGCACTCTGACACTACCCCGTGTTGAGAGAAGAGGAGTGGATGAGCCTGCAGGTTTGGCTCAAGAAACTTCATGAAGGTCTGTTGCTAATCCCATTATACTTTGTCTCCTGGACACTCGTCTCCGTGTCAAGCAGGAGGGAAGATGAACACAAGTGTTGGAGGAGACTAAGGGCAGGTCTTTAAAGCCACACCCCCACCCTGTGGACGATGAGCTTCTGTGCAGACTGCACATGCCTTTGCAGCAACAAACCCTCCCGGCAGCCCCTGAGTCAAGTAAAACCAGCACAACCGGCTGCCTGTGGTTGCTGAGGCAGTGCCAGCAAGCCTCTTCATGTTACGTTCCTTTGATAAGTCCATTTTGGAACCTAAGGGCTTTGGGTACATCAGAGCAGCAGTGCCCCTCACCCACCACCCCTTCCCCGTCAAGTTCACAACACTTGCTATCACATCACCCAAACTGAAAACATTAGATGCGCTTGGAAAGGCCTGTCAGAAGCCATTTCCTCTTATCATTTCTCCTTCTACTCACCAGTGAGGTGTCAGTCAGGAAACCCAGCATGGTGTCAGTCCTGAGCCCACACTGTCCATGTGCAACCCAGAGGGCCTAGAGTACTGCCCACATCCCCACATGTGCAGCGTGGCTCAGCATAGCTGCTGGTCTCAGCCCCTACTGCAGCGGGGAGTCGTTGTGAGCCCTTTTTCTGGGAATGGTCGAGGAGGATGCTGACCCCTTTGCCTCTTCCCTTCCTCCTTCCCTTCCCTCTCTTGCCCTCTCTCTTTTTACTTAAAATGGCTTTCACTTTTAACAGTTTATCCCAAATAAGATCCCAAACATAATCCTGAAGCCATGATCCACTTAGAATTGTAAGTAGGTTCAGGAAGCTCCTGCAGGGCTGTCCACCCGTTGGTGTGTGCCTCAGTATTTGGACTTACGATAACGAACTGAAAGTGTTTTTATAGGAGAGAAATGCATGCTGCTTTTTGGCTCTTTCTGTCCAACTTTTCTAGAAGTGACTCAGAGTCCATTAGGATTTGTGAATATTGTATAAATTAGCTATGTAAAGCAGCCGTGGGTCAGATTAAAAAATTCTTTTCCACAGTCCTCCTCTCCACCTCCCTCCATCATACTAGTGCCTGCCTCAACTCCTTGTCAACTGCTTTGCCCCACCCCATTCCACAGGTGTGAATGGGGGCTTTTCACTGGAAGTACAATCTCCATGATATGGAGAAAGGATGGAAGGAGCTTTGCTACTCTGCTTATGGCAGGTCTCCAGGGGTTTTTTCTGGAATCTACCCTCTACCATCTTAGAATGGGGAAAGGGAGCCTCTCCTTGGCTCAGGTGGCTGGGGTAAGAAGAAGAAAATTCCCATTAGCCTAGAAAAGTGCTGAGCAGAATCCAATTTGGAAAATTACAAATCCATTTGGTCAGCATTGGCTGATTCCTGTGTGTGACCTATTCGTGGTATGCCAACTGGACTTCTTCCTAAACAGGGCAAGGGAAGTGTGGAATATTTTTACATGAAAGCTTTAGCCTGTTTGGCACCCATAAAAAAACCTATTTGTACACTCCTGCTTTCACTTTTTGCATTCTTTATTTGTAACACAATAGAGTTGAATGCTGCAAAACACCCAGTTTACAGTGAAATATTTCCAGTGACCAATGTCAGAAGCAGACTTGCTTCTGGACTGGACTCATTAATGGCCAGCGTCCACTATTTTCCATGGAATGGCCTTGGGACAAATGTCACCTCTTTGTTATGGGGCTCTAGTAGGAAAGAGAATTTTTTCCCCTGAAAGGAGAAATTCCATATGATCTGTAACCATAAATATTGCTGCTCAGTTTTTGTTGGGTTGTAGCCTTTCAGTTGCAGCCTTTTTCTGACCCTGTGTGAATAGCAAGGAGGCAGCCTCACCAAGTTCCTGTATTCGTAGGGAGGCAAACGAACTCATCTCACTGTGTTACAGCTACAGGCAAGTTGAGATGGTCGATGCATAGTACTGGACCAGAGGCACAAAGCCCAAATAGTTACGGCCATCAGAGGAAAGCACAAGAAAGATCTGCACTGGGCACTGGGCACCATCTTGGGTCTGCTTTGCCCGCATGGGGTGCCAGTAACTTGACCTCAGCACTTGTGAATGTGGAGTGCTTTTTAAAATGCATTCCTTCTGCTGAAATTGGGCTGGAAATTGGAGCTGTTAAGAATATTTTCTGCTCTAGTCATCTCCCCTTTCTCAGCTTGGTGTCCTTCTACTGCAGCAGGCCTAGTGTCACTCACAGCAGTTCCTGTGATTCTTAGCAGTATTACTCAAACGTGTTTGCTATCTACATTTGGACTTCATTGTGCATTGCCATACATGCAAATGGCAAGCCTTTTAATTTACACCTTCCTTTAATTCTGGTTAAAATCACAGAGTTTTTTTGTTTGAAAGACAGTACATCTGGATTTTTTTTTTTTTTTTTTTTTTTTAAAGAATTAGGGCTGGTCATGGTAGAAACAGAACCTCAGCCTGAGGCCTCCTGAGCTGTACAGGCTCTCTCTGGGGCCCCAGTTTACCTGGCTCCCTTCTTTTCCTCCCCTGACCTTCCTTGCTACTTTTGCCCACAGTGCACCCTGATGTGATTGCTCAGTGCCAAATATTCCTTATTTAAGTTATTGAATAGGTAATCACTTCACATGGTTCACAAGTGATAAGTGCTCCTTGCATTCCTGACCCCAGAAAGCCCAGCTCCTTGCCCTGTGAGCACCATTAGTTTGTTCCTTGTGTATCTTTCCAGAGATCATTTATGCATACACACATGCATGTGTGTGTTTATATATATATATATAATTTCTCTTTTTAGTCATGTGATACCAGACAAGAATATTCAAGGAACATTCCTATTCATTTGGGAAAGACCATCCCAGAAGTCAGAATATCTGTAAAAGGTGAGCCCAGAATTGGGGGATGTTTTTGGTTTGCAATCACATTCCTTTTGAATAAGGCACATTTTTACTTGATTGCAACACACTGAAATTCTAGCTTTCTAAACAAATGAGAAACTGAAATCCTTCCCTTACCTCATATGCCAAGCTAATCCAAGAGCACAAACAGACTTTTCTGACCATCTTTCTGATCTGTGACAGGACACTCGAGAACAGGCTCTGCAGCTGGGCAGCCGCACAAGCCTCTCCCCCTGGTGGGAGCAGCCTCTGCGGGAGCCTGGACCAGCTGCCAGCGCCTCCCCCATCTTGGCCAGGTCCAAGTGAGGACCAAGATTCCAGTGGTGATGTTTGGCTACAATTGTCATGGTCTCTTAGGTGAGCTCATGTTTTTGAGGCAGGAGTCTGAGCAGCAGCAACTGAAGGCTTCTATTTATGGGGCAGATGTCTCCACCTGCCACTGAGTAAGTGGATGGTGAATCTCCCTAAGATTAACTGCAGGTATAACTGAATGTCCATATGCAAGTTTGTGGATTTGCTCCCTGTTCCTCCCGACTCTTTATGCACACACTTTAAAAGGAAAATGTTTCCTGCAGAATTTTCAACGTGCTCAACTTCTTTCCCACTAAACAGAAATTATCTCACCAATTTAAAAAAAAAAAAATTTAAATTAAAGTTCATTTTTGCCCCAGTAGGAGATGAAAGTTAAAGATTTCTCCAGGCAGCTCCGGGGGAAGAGGCATGGACTCATGCCTCGCTCTTCAGCAGCCGCTCAATGTCTCTTCATCCTCACCCACCTCCCTGGCACAACTGCACCCACAGCAGCAGCCCAGATCTAAGAAAAGGATCCCATGTGCCATGGAGCATGCTTCCATTTGAGTGGGAATAAATCATGAGAAAAAGGGGCTTGTTCCATAAACCTGTTCTTTTTCCAATTCGGCTTTAGAGCCCAAATTGTTGCAAGATGCGAAGTTTCTTATCCCACTTTTTTTTTTCCTTTTTGTCTTTTTTCGTGACCGGTAACAGGATAGCAACCCTCAGTGTTGCGCCCGTACCGCGACCAGCAACGGAATCGCAACCCTCGGTGTCGCACCCACACCATGCTCAACCAGCGAGTGGACCGGTCTCTATATGGGATCCGAACCCTCGACGGGAGCACCGCCGCACTCCCAAGTGCTGCACTCTACTGAGTGTGCCACCGGGCCGGCCCTCTTATCCCACTTTTAAACCAAGCCATTAGCACTCTTGGCTTACCAATCCAGTCCTCCCTTCTATGGCTGTAGGCCCAGGGAGCACATCCTCCCTGCTCCAGGGACATATACCCAGAACATGGGCCCCATGTCAGGGGACTTGCTCGTGCTTTAATGAAGCTCTTCTCAGCCCCCTGTGCCAGTCCAAGCCTTGCGGGTCAGCATCTCAGACCCACAGCTGGCCATTCCTCTCCATCTGCCCTTCCCTCCCAGGCCCCAGCTAGAGCTGGTGGGGCAGGTAAGGCCAATATTAGGAAGTGCCTCCTGGTGACAGCTGGTCTTCCAAGACTGTGATAACTGTTGTCTCCAAGTCTCTTGAAAGATCATTGCCGGCGGGGGGGCACTTTAGTCTTATAGTTTATCCCTTTGGGGTTTATTAACTAGATATCATATAACGCCCTCAAAAAAAGGTTTATGAAATGCTGAGCCTCAGGTTTCATAGACGTGTTTGTAAACTAAGAATTCTGCAGCAGAATATTTTTAAACATTCGCAGTTTTTTGTAAGCTATATTTTTGTATATTTAATTGCTATTTTAAATTTTTAATGCATTTTGCTAATCACTGGTTTAAAAAAATGCATGTAACTGACTCAAATATGTGTAAATAAAAAGATTTGAAAACATTTCATGTTGAGCATATACCTTTCAAGTCATGCCTGTAGTCGCCCACACCCACATACGCACATGTTCCTAGACTTGGTAACTCAAGGTGAGTGGTTCTGATCAAATGGAGCAGTCACCAGTAAGAGATGATTGTCACCTGCATGGGAACACTAGCGTTCAGGGTGACTTGAAGCAGAGGAACTGATCTTGGTCCCTCCACAGCCCACACAACCCTGAGGACTTGCCACCACACCAACCCTCCAGCTATATCCCAGGCCTGGAAATAACTCTTCTGTCAGGAAGAGGGGAAAAAAATCTCTTGGTGCAAAGGCCTCCTGTGGCTGTGGCCACTGCTGCTCTCCTCACCGTCCCTCACTAGGACCTTTGCAGTTCAGCTTCTGCTCCATGATTTCAGGGAAGCTGCTCCCATCAAGGCCACCATGCCCTTGCAGTCAAACCTGGGCAACTTTAATCCAGGTGCCCGCAGAGCTGCTCTCCCCGCAGCCTCCTGAGCCAGGGCATCCTCTGACCGGTCTTCAGTTTTCTTTGTAGTCTTTTCCTTCACTGCCCATCTCTTTGTTGACTTTCTCACTCTACCTTGAATTTACAAAATTCCCATTTTCAACTCTGTATCTCCAGCCCAAATACCAAGCTGCTGATTTGGAGTCTCAAAATCAGGCTGTCCAGAATCAAGCCTGGGTACCCTCATGGCATCTCCTTTCCCTTGTCCCCCATATCCAGTCATCACAACCCAATAGCCCTCTAAGCATTTCCTCTCCACTCTGGCCACCCACTACCTCCCATCTTATTTCAGGCTGCCTTCCCTTCTCACCCAGACATGGCCACAACCCCCTTCACTGCCTCTCATGTGTGAAGTGTGAGGTGGGGCCCTCAGGCTACTGAAGACAGACTGGAAGGAAGAGCTGCTGAGAGAAGACAGGGTAGTGCAATGGCAACTAGAGATTGAGTCTGCATGCACCTCACAAGCTGGAGTTGATGAGATGGCAGTAAGCTGGGATGAGGATGGGGACATTTCTGCAGAGATGACCTTGGAGATCCACCAGTGGAAAGAGCAGGCGGTGCTATGGGGCTGCTCAGAGGCCATGGCTGGCTGGGGTGCCCCCTCGGAAATCAATGTGAGCGCTGATGGCTGCCTGGGGACATCCAGGATTAAGCCTGAAGACTGGTAATAGCTAATTATCGTCAGAAAACAAGCTGGCAGATACAAGTGGCCTGGAGGGTGCCCCCTCGGAAATCAATGTGAGTGCTGATGGCTGCCTGGGGACATCCAGGATTAAACCTGAAGACTGGTAATAGCTAATTATCGTCAGAAAACAAGCTGGCAGATACAAGTGGCCTGGAAGGCAGGAGAAGAGAGGTCTGCCATGTTAGAATTAAGGAAGATGCAACTCTGAAACAGGATTCACTGGTGACCCATCAATAACCTACCCATGGAGTGACAGGGTGGGCTGAGCACAGATGGAAAGTGGGGAAATGGAGAAGTCTCTCAAGAGAGGAGAGATGGGTTCAGGGAGTAGGAAGGCAAAGCAAAAGGGGAGCTGACAGTGTTGGGTAAACTCAAGCTCTGGGACCAGGCAGACCTGGGTTTGAGTCCAGCCCATTTCCAGCTTTGTGACCAGGGGCAGGTTTGCATCTCTGGGCTTTCAGTTTCCTTCCCTGTTAAGTTGTGGGAATAATAAAGGCTGGCTGAGATGACTCACGTAGAGCTCTAGTCACAACCTCCTGAACACAGTAAGTACGGGCAGAGGTGGGCACAAGTGCTTCGGAGGGCAGGCCTGGGCCACCCCAGGAAGCAAGCCAAGTTCACCAAAGTCACCTGCCCAGAGGAGTGGGAGGAGGGCCTGGAGCCCATGAACTGAGAGGCACCCTCTACAAGTGGGTAGATGGTGGTGCTCTTTCGGGGCCATGGGGGTATACGGCGCCACCAAGCATGCAGCTGGGAGTAGAGGGCAGAGGGACACAGTATTGGGGTGTCCAATGTGGCTCAGCCAGGAGTGCTGCGAGCAGCAGCATAGCAGGGGGAGGAGGGTCACCAATCAATGCCCAGGGGACGCAACTGCTATCCCTGCAGCATCTCTCCTGCTCCTTGCATGCACAAGGACCCAGCCCAGCAACAGCCACAAGCCAGATGTGCTAAGGCACGCACGCTACGGCCACCACCCCTTGGGAAACAGCTGGGAATTGACCCTGCCCAGCATGTCCAGCATGCCTCTGCTGCCCCCACATGGCCAGCAGCACTAGTGCAGCGGTCCCTCCTTCCCACCCGCCATGTGAAAGAAATGGGAGCACAAAGGCCAGAGAGCAATAGAGCCTATGAGTATTCCTTCCAGCTCCAAGGCTGCTTTGTACAGGCCCTTCTCGTGTTCAACAGTGATGCAAGCACCACTTAATATATAAGACATAAAAGTAGCACTATATCCAAGGGAAAGGCCTTTTAAATTACTCTACACAGCAGAAAGAAAAGGTTCAACACTTACCAAAACGCTATCTCTGGCTTCAGGCAGTCTTCTGAGCCCCTTCCCCACTCCCCATGTGTTAGTTCATCAATGAACACCTCAATTCATCCTTTTCTACTCAGCCTGAAAGAATACCCACATTCTCCCATCCCCTGAAGAGATGTTAATTATAGCAGACTTTTTGCTGCTGTTAGTCTTTCAGACTCTGCTTTTTCTACTAGCTTACCCACTTTCATCATGTCAATAATCCCATTACTCAGGATATTCTGTCCAGAAGTCTTGTCTTCCCAAGATTTACAGCACAAAGTAACATGAACTGCCCTTCCAAACAGTGCTTGTCATATTTCAGATACAGAATTAACCTGCCCAATTAAGTTTGCAGAACCCTGAAAGAAAACATGTTTTTCAATATGTTCACACAAAGGCTAAATGCAAACCAGAGTAATGCACAGACCATGATCTTCAAGGCCATATTAACAAATATATGATTAGATTACAACACAGAGTAGCTTGCCTTACATTTAGCAAGTTCAAACAGGACACAAAACCACAGTCAGCTGAACACAGAACAGCTCTCCCCTGAAGTGTCTCCAATGAATGACACTAAGATTTCAAAAATACACAGCAACTTTAACAATGCTACAGCAAAAAGCAACTTAAATACAACAAATCCTCAACACTGTCTGAACATGGTCCACTTTGTTTTTAATATAATCTTCCTTCTGGTTGCTAGTTTAGACCAATGTTTAAGGATTTATCTTCATGACTTAGAAAAATACACTTGTCCTTTTCTCGCTTTGATTTAGGTAGTACACAATCATAAAACTGAGTAAGTCTCTTAAAAAAAACAACAGTCCACGGATCCCACTATGAAAGGTTCCAGGAACCCCTCCCCAGGTAATGATCAGGGGATCTTCAACAGCTCAAGTAGTGCTCCAACAGCTCCAAAATAACCCTGAAAGAAAATACACCAAAAATAAGAGCAGTTCTCCTTAGACTTATTTACATTACCATAAATATGACTACTAGTGTTAAAGCTAACACTGCCCTTAACTCCTAACACCTATTTTCTGATCACCTGCAGCAGGCCCAAGGCCAGCCTGGGATCAGAGAAGCCCCGAGGAGCTTCTCGGCTAGGGAGGGGGGCTGGATGTACAAGATACTGCAAGCATGTTGGACAGCTGTGGTTAAAAGCAAAGCCAAATCCGCAGGGGGGGTGGAGGGGCCCAGCAGCGGCTCAGTGACCTCTGGTAAGAGATGGTACCTGGGCTGTGTCCTGGGGAATGACAAGGAGCGAACCAGCAGAGGCCTGCAACATTTCCAGACAACTAAATAATGAAGGTATGATGAGACACGAAGTACAACAAAGCAAGAGAAGCTAAGAGGGGCAAGTCACAGAGAGTGAGGGCCTGCCTGGGCTGGCGGTGGGAGAGAGAGAAAGGAGGTGGTGGAATGGATTCAAGACTCAACTGAAAGAGGGGATGAGGGCAGCAGGGGAGGTCTGGGGATACTGCTGCTGAGAATGGGGACAGAGGAGCAGGAGATGTGGAGAGCAAGGCAGGTCGGCTCACTACAGGATGTGGAATGCCATGGCAGCACAGCAGGTGCGCCCAGGAGGTCACTGTAGCCACTGGCCCAGGGGAGGGCAGCAGAGGAGTGGATGATGGTGCCCTGAGGCAACAAGGAGGTGCAGACCAAAGTCTGAGGAGGGGCAGAAGCTCCTGAGAGGAGGGCAGACGCATGAGACAGAGAAGCAACAGCTGCAAAAGGACAAGTGACAAACTGTCTCCACAAGTAAGCAGGCAAGGTCAAATGCAACCAAGAACCCAAAACAAAACCAGGAGAAAAAAGGATAAAATATTACAGAAAATGACACAAAACCCACACTGACAGAAAGAGAATTCCAGCAGGAATCAGAGAAGAATCCTACAATGATACAGAATCTATCAAGGTCTCCAAAGCATGAGATAAGAAATAACTGAAAAAGGAATGTGGGGCTGGCTGGTTAGCTCAGTTGGTTAGAGCATGGTGTCCTAACACCAAGGTCAAGGGTTTAGATCCCCGCACTGGCCAGCGGCCAAAAAAAAAAAAGGAATGTTGGAAGATCCTGAAAGACTTGCTTGTGGATTTGGAAGAAGAATGTACTAAAGTCTCTGAAATATCATAAATAACTAGGGTCTAGTCCATCAAGAAAAGCTTCTTCAAGAACATGTGACTAAACAACAGAGATGCTGAAGCCTGCCCTACTTCTCAATTTAAAAAAAAAGACAGCCACAACCAATCTGTGTTATGAGGAGGCCAGAAACCGTAGGAGTAACATGTACGGTACAGCAGTAAGAAAACAGCTGAGCAAGACTCAGTAATTCTCAGGAACCCCCGACCACAGCCAGAGTACACAGATGCGAGGGTGCTCATTTTATAATAGTTAACTATACATTTTGTTTTATGCAGCTTTCTATATCTGTTTTATTTTTTACAGTAACCAGTATATTCAGTTCCACCGAAGACCCAGAACCTACTATCAAGTAAAGACACAGACAGGTTATTATAAGATATGAAGTGCTAAGATGATAAGAAAGGATGAAAGAGAAAGGCTTAAGAATCTACACAAATTTCACAACAACAGTTAAACTGACTTCAGCGTGAAGGCAGGAGAATATTTCAAGACTAACAGAGGTTAAAATAGTCAAAGTTCCACAAGTATAGAGATCAATACTAGAGTCAGAGGCCTGAAAGCAAATGAAAACCACAGGGACAAATGAACATACTAACCAGAGGAAAAAATGAAGTCATGACAAATTAAAAAATACGAAGATATGGTTTTTTTTTTAAAGGTTAACCTAAGAAGGGCCGGCCCGGTGGCACACTGGAGAGTGTGCCGCTTGGGAGCATGGCGGCGCTCCCGCCGAGGGTTCGGATCCCATGTGGAGACCGGTTCCCGCTCACTGGCTGAGCGCGGTGCGGGCGCAACACTGAGGGTTGCGTAATGGCAATTTGGTATTTATTTACTAATACAATAACAGAAGAAAATAAGTTAGATGACATACTTTAAGCTTTTGATATATGTAACTTGTACACTTTGAATTTTAATTATAAATTTAAGCAATTTAAAAGGAAAAATTTAAAGCAACTTTAAAGGAAAAAGTAATCTCTCTTTATAGCACTTCATGCCTACTTTCATTTCTGTTAATCCATATGAACACTGTTAAAATAAATATGCAGTTATGAAAAATGTTCATAACAACACTATCTAAAAATCTAACAACACTTGAAATAGTAGACTGCCCAACAACCAAGGGAAGGGAAGAGAGAACCCCTTACATAACTCTGGTTCCATTTTCTTCTCCAAACAGGAAAAACAAAAGAGCACTTTCCAAGATAAAATATCAGGTTGAGCAATTCAATGATTCTTTTCCATTTTGCAATGCCTCGCCTGTACATATGCTAAGTTCTTATGATAGTGTGGTTCTTGTCTGGAATGTTTTTTTACTGATCTAGTCATTTTTATACCATACATCTTAAATAAATGGAACATAAATTACTGTACAACATTACATAAAAACTGGCATAAAAAAATGAAAAAAGCAAAACCCAGAGTAACTACAGAGTCAGTGCAATGGAAAAAAATAAAAAGGATAGTTCAGCAAAGAATATGGCATCAGAAATACAGATGAATGTTCATGATTTTTTCTTTAAAATTGATTAAATTTATAATTAACTAAAATCCTACCTTACATTATATCAGGTAAGAAAGCTTTCAAACATTACAAAGTTAAACCCTACATTATACCATTACAAAAAAATAAATAAGAAATACTACAGCCCATTTCACCTCTACTTCAAATTCCACTACAGTGTGGTGAACTTCATGCCCTTTGTACACTGCTATAGACTGGATGCCCCCCAACCTCACTGAGGCTCAATCCCACTGTAACTGTTGAGAGTGGGAAATCCTATTATGGTAATTGAGAGGCGGGGCCTTGCAGTGCAGACTACACCAAGCCAAGGGTTGTGATCCCCTTACCAGTCACGAAAAAAGAAAAAAAAGAAAAAAACAAAGAAAGGTGGGGCCTTAAAGAGGTGATTACACTGCAGGACCATGCCTAGTGAACGGATTAAAAATGGTGGTCATGGGCATAGTTCTGAAGGCTTTAAAAGAAGAGTGCATAAGGAACTAGTCTCTCTCTGCTCTGTCATTTTCTACCATGTGAAACCCCTGGGTCACTGCTGCCACCACCAAGATCCTCACCAGATGTGTTCCCTGGACTTCAGACTTCCCAGCCTCTGAAACCGTAAGCATTTTCTTACAAAGTACCTAGTTCTGTGTATTTTGTTATAAGCAAAAGAAACGGACTAATACAGAAAATTGGTACCAGAGAAGTGGGATGTTGCTTATAACAAATACTTAAAAATGTGGAAGCTGCTTTGGAATGGGGTGTTGAGGACAGGCTAAAAGAATTTGGAGGAATAGGCTAGAAAAAACCTAGAAGTTTAGAAGACAAGAAAACCAGGGAAAGTTTGGAACATTTTAGAGATTAAATGGTAGTGACCAGAATGCTGATAGAAATATGGACTGTTAAGACCATTCTAAAGAGGTCTCAGGTGTAAATGAGAAGGGACTTATTGGAAACTGGGGCAAAGATCACCCCTGCTATGAACTTGGCTGTACTGTGTCCATGCCCTAGGACTTGCTGGAAGTTGGAACTTAGAACTTAAGAGTTATGAACCAGAATATCTGGCATGAGAATTTGACTCAGCAGCAAAGCATTCAGGAAGCTGCATGGCTACTTGTAACAACCTATGCAGAGTTATGACAGCAAAGGCATGATGTAAAGCCAGAATTTAAAAGGGAAGCAGAGCGTAAAGATTTGGAAAATTTGTAGCCTGGCCATGTGGTAGAGCCACAGAGAACATTTTCATGAGAAAATACAATGGTGCTGAGAAGATTAGTACAAAAGAAAGGAATTACCAAGAAAAGGGGGAAAAGGCCCTGAAGGCATTGCAGAAGCCTCTGAAATTATGGGCCCAGAGGCCTAGGGAGACAGAATGGTCTTGAAGAACAGACCTGAGGCACCATCCATGGGCTCACTGCCCAGGGCCACCTTGGAAAGCTGCTTCCAGCACCAGCACCCAGCTGCTCTGGCTACTCCTGCTGTGGCTAAATTGGCACCAGGTGTGGCTGGACCTGCAGCTTTGGAAGACACAAGCCAGAAGACTTGGCATCATCCACATGGTGTTAGGTCTGCAGGCTCACAGAATGCCAGAGCCGTGGAGGCTTGGGAGCCTCCAACCCAATTTCAGTGGGTGTATGGAAAAGCCTGAGGGCTCAGGAAGAAATTTGTTGCAGGGGCGGATTCACCACAGTCTTCGCTAGAGTGATGCCAAGAGGAAATGTGGGCTTGGAGTTGCAGCAGAAAAACCCCATCAAGGCCATGCCTAGTGGAGCCATTAGAGCGGAACTGCCATGGAGACCCCAGACCTGTGGAGCTACCAGAGTGGAACACCAGCCTGGGAGAGCTGAAGTGTGGCCTAATACCAAGAAAGCCATAGAAGCGGAGCTGCCCAAGGACTTGGGGACCCAACTCCCTCACCAGCATGCAGAGGATGTCAAACATGGAGTCAAGGTTCATGATTTGCCAGCTTTGAGTTTTAATGCCTGCCCTGCTGGGTTTTGGACTTGTTTGGGACTTGTTTGTGTTACCCCTTTCTTTTGGCCTATTTCTCCCTTTTTTGAATGGGAATATATACCATATGTTTGCCCCACCTTTGTATCTTGGCAGTAGATAACTTGTTTTGATTTCATAGATGGGACTTTGAGACTTTGGACTTTTGAGTTGAAACAAGTTAAAACTTTGTGGATGAAATGAATGTATTTGTGTGTGAAAAGGATATGAGTTTGGGGGGTCAGGGGTGTAATGCTGTAGATTGGATGCGCCCCCCAACCTCACTGAGGCTTAATCCCCACTGTAACTATTGACAGTAGGAAATCCTATTATGGTAATTGAAAGGTTGGGCCATGAAGAGGTGATTAGATTGTAGGACCATGCCTAGTGAATGGATTAAAAATAGTGCTCATGGGCATGGTTCCAAGGGCTTTAAAAGGAGAGCACATGAGGAACTAGTCTCTCTCTGTTCCATCATTTTCTGCCATGTGAGACTCCTGGGTCACTGTCACCACCACCAAGACCCCCACCAGAAGTGTTCCCTGGCCTTTGGACTTCCTAGCCTCCGAAACTTAAGCAATAAATTTCATTTTCTTATAAAGTACCTAGTTCTGTGCATTTTGTTATAATCAATAGAAGCAGACTAATACATGTATGTAACACATCACAAGAAACAAGTCAGCTTACCTCGTGTTCCGAAAAAAGTGCCTTTAACTGCCCCTTGGACCAATAATCCAAAGCATATGCCAAAAGCTGCATGGCGATGGTATTAATTCTCAAGAAATTTCCAACAAATACCACCTGGTTAATGTTCTGAGCACATCAAAAAAAGGCAATTAGTTTTCATCTTAATTTTTCTCTCATAAAAAGTTACCCCAAACAGCACCATGTGCATATTTTTTAGGAGCAATATGACTGCTGATCAAATTTAATCCAGTTGGTCCAGGGCTACTTATTTGAACCCCAGACAACTATAGACCTACTGCAAAGCATGCCAGAAAATGTTACAAGAAAAACTAGGAAAAACATTTGTATTAAATATGACAAATAATAACTATTAACACTTTATGCAGACAACTAAACAAAAATAACAAGATGCCAATTTAAAGGAAAAAAAGTGACACAAATAAGCAAAATATTCAAAAAATGTAACAGGTACAAAAAAATTCAAACTTTATGCAGACAACTAAACAAAAATAACAAGATGCCAATTTAAAAGAAAAAAAGTGACACAAATAAGCAAAATATTCAAAAAATGTAACAGGTACAAAAAAATTCAACTTCACTAGTGATCAAAAAAAGCAAAGTTTTAGTCCTATTAAGTTAACAAAAACATTAACTGAAATTCCACCTCCAACATTAGTAAAGATGCAGTAAAACTGATCCATTCATTCATTGTTAAAGATGATCTAAACTGTTGCAGCCCTTGTGCAAAGTATCATAACAATATGTATCAAGATTCATAAGCATGATCTTATCCTTTAGACTAGAAATCCCACTCCTGAGTAAGCCCCATATCAAGAATAAAATTCAACCAAAGAATAGCTTCACCCTCAAAAATGCATACTGCATAGTTATCATTGGCAAGCAACCAACTGCGCAGCTCTATGTGAATGATTCACGATAGAAAAGAATTTGATCAAATATATAGCCATAGAATATATAATATTTAAGTAAAAGATATAAAAATAGTATGTACACCAACTAAAATATTTTCAAATACATAAGCACAGGAAAGGGAATATACAATAAAGAGAAAAGTAGTGTTATGATATTCAAATGAAATTTAATTATTTGATGCTGATACAGTATCTTTTTAATTAAAAATGAAACAAATCCTTTCGTGCCTTTTGAGGTTTCTTTTCAAGCCACATGCTTATATTATCTATTTAAAGAATAATTTTAAACACAAATTTATAAATAGGAACAAGCCATGAAGCTGCATCAACTGAATCCTAGATCCTCTTTCCCCCAGGGCAGCCAATTCTTGGTTCTTTCATAGCCCTGTACAATGCTGCTTGACCTGAATGCTACAAGGCAGCACTGTAAAGAAGCTGAAAGCACGAAGACACAACTCGGCTGGCGGGGAGGGGAGCAGGGTGGGCAATTCCTCTGCCCACTCAGTCTTCGCCCAGCTTCAATGATTTCCTGTGGATTCCTTCCCAGGGCCTCTACAGCACATCGATGAGCATGGAGTCTAGATTCAGCATCATCACCCAACATCACCCCCAACAGTCCCCATCATCTGGAACACTGGCTACCTTCCTATCTTCCTCCACTCTCTCCTTAAAAATGTCATTTTACCTCTAGACAGTAGCAGTGTTTATCTTCAGTAAGCAAAAGAAATCCATGAAGATTAATCTGCATTTGAAGAGCTTTAATTTCGCATGGAAACAAACCCCACCCCACACGACTACATTTAGGCACTGTTCTGAGAAGACAGACATCATGTGATGTCAAGGTGGGGCCCACTTAGTAAGTTCAGTATTTTCCTTAGAGCAACTAAAGAAACCCATGTCCCCTTACTTCATTAAGGGCACACATTCTTGCTATTGAGCCAATATTGTTAGTGATGGTGATCAAAGCCGCTCTGGCGAGGTCCTCTTTACTGACTGCCTCTCGCTTCTCCTTGCTCATCATGTTCCCAAAGCTGTAACAGGAAAAAAAAATATTCCATTGCTAAACCATAGACAACACAGCCCAACAGATCTTGAATGTTACTGGCTTTTAGGTTAACATTGTTTGGATCTTCAAACTGTTTATTACAAAATAGTGGAGGATCTGCTCAAAGAGAAATGCAGCTTCAAATATAACCCTCAAGTGTTCTAAATGAGCAGATGGTTTTCCTTGTGGTTTCTACTGAAATCTAGTTTTCATACTAGATATTTGCACATTTATTTAGGATCTCATCAGATCCACTGGAAGGCACCACTGCTCCTTCTGCAAGACAGTTCCAGGAAGACACCTCTATCAGAAATTCATCCCAACCAGGCCAGCCCGTGGCTCACTTGGTAGAGTGCAGTGCTGATAACACCAAGGCCACGGGTTCGGATCCTATATAGGGATGGCCGGTTCGCTCACTGGCTGAGCGTGGTGCTGACAACACCAAGCCAAGGGTTGAGATCCCCTTACCGGTCATCTTTAAAAAAAAAAAAAGAAAGAAAGAAATTCATCCCAACCACATAACTCTTCCACTCAGATGGTCATTTTCACATCTGGTAAACTGCTTTATCAGAGCAAACCAAAGCACAGACAAGTGAGTCCCAGCGTGAGCTACCTTGAGAGTTTTAGATTTCCCTGAAAAACATAAAGTACTTCAAAGTACTTAACCAGCAGAACTGCTACATTAGGAACTGTGACCAGAATACAAACCCAGCCAATTGGAAAAGTGATGACCGATGAGCAAATGCTGCAAACACAGAAAATAAAATCTATTGCATTTACTAAGTACCAAAAATTAGTAAACAAACACATATATATGACTGTTTTTTCTACTATTAAAAACCATATGCCCCAATATACAAAAAAAAATTGTATTTCTAAACAATCTCAAAATAAAACAATTCCATTTATAATAGCATCAAAGAAAATAAAATGCCTAGGAATATATTTAACAAAAGAAGTACAACACTTGTACACTGAAGTCTATAAAATACTGCTGAAAGCAAAGACCTAAATGAATGGGGAAAATAAAAAAATAATATATATAAATAAATAAATTAAATAAATAAATAAATAAATAAATAAATAGAAAAACATTCCAACTTCTATTAGAAGATCTGCTGTGTTAAGATAGCAATACTCCCCAACTTTGTCTACAGATTCAACACAATGCCTGTCAAAATTCCAGCTGTCTTTTTTGCTGACATTGGCAAGCTGATCCTAGAATTTATATGAAAATGCAAGGAATAGCCAAAACAATCTTGAAAAAGAAGAAAAGTTGAAGGATTCACACTTCCCGATTTTGAAACTTAATACAAAGCTACAGTAATCAAGTCAGTGTGGTAAAAGAATAGACATAAAGATCAATGGAACAAAATTAAGAGTCCAGAAATAAACCCAAACATTTATGGTCAACTGATGTTTGACAAAGCGGCAGAGAGAATTCAATAGGGAAAGAACAGTCTTTTTTCAACAAATGCCAGGACAAATGGATATCCAGATGCAAAAGAATAAATTTGGGCCACTCTGTCACACAATATAGAAAAATTAACTCAAGATGGATCACAGACCTGAAGTTAAAAGCTAAAATATAAAAGTCTTAGAAGAAAATAAAAAAGTAAATCTTCATAACCTTAAAATAATTTCTTATGTATGACACCAAAAACACAAGTAATAAAAGAGGAGACAAGATGGACCTCACCAAAACTACAAATTCCTAGGCTGCCTGGTTAGCTCATTTGAATAGAGCACAGCCTTATAACACAAGATAACACAAGGTCAGGTTCAGATCCCAGTACCAACAAGCTGCCAGAAAAGAAAAAAAAAAACACCTAAAAATGCCTATGCTTCAAAGGACACTATCAAGGAAGTGAAAAGACAACTAACAGAATGAGAGAAAATATTTGCAAACTATATATCTAATAAGGGACTTATATCCAGAACATATAAATAATTCTTGTAACTCAACAGTAAAAGGAAAATCCAATTTAAAAATTAGCAAAAGACTTGAACAGACATTTCTCCAAAGACGTGGCCAAAAAGCACATGAAAAGATGTTTATCATTAGCCATCAGGAAAATGCAAATAAAACCACAATGAGGTGTCATTTCACACCTTTTAAGACAGCTAAAATTCTCCACATTTAAACTCTCACAAACTGCTGAGAGTGTAAAACAGTAGTTTTAGTAGTTTCTCAAAAGATTAAACATAAAGTTACCATACAACCCAACAATTCCACTCCTAGGTACAGACCTAAGAGAATTAAAAATATATGTCCATACAAAGACTTGTACAGCAGTGTTCAGCATTATTCATAATAACCAAAAAGTGGAAATAACCCAAATGTTCATCAACTGATAAATAGATCAATAAAATATAGTATATCCATACACTGGAATATTATGCAGCAATAAAAAGGAATAAAACTCTGATTCATGCTACTACACAGATGAACCTTGAAAACATTATGCTAAGTGGAAGAAGTGAGTCATAAAAGATCACATATTGAATATATCATTTATATGAAATGTTCAGAATAGGCAAACCTACAGAGACAGAAAGTAGATTAGTGTTTGGCAGGGGCAAGGGATGGGGGAATGAAGAGTGGCAGTTAATGGATATAAGGTTTCTTTCTAGGAAGATAAAAATGTTCTGAAATTGGATTATGATAATTGTTGCACAATTCTGAAAATATATTAGAAACCACTAAATTGTACATTTTAATAGGTGACTTTATAGTGCATGCTATGGCTTGAATGTTTGTCCCCTCCAAAGTTCATATTAGAACTTAATCCTCAATATGGTACTTAAAGTGGGTCGTTTAAGAAGTAACTGGTTCATGAGGACTCTACTGTCATGAATGGATTAATCCATTCACAAATTAATGGTCTAATGGGTTATCAAGGAGTAGACTGGGGGCTTTATAAGGAGAGGAAGAAAGCATGTGGAAATGCTCTTACTCAGCCTCTTGCCGTGTGTACCCTGCTTTGCCTCAGGATTCTGCAGAGAGTTCCCACCCAGAAAGCCCTCACCAGAGGTGTCCCTTGACCTTGGACTTTCCAGCCTCCAAAATTGTAAGAAATAAATTGTGTCTTTATAAATTATCCAGTTTCAAGTATTCTGTTATCAGCGACAGAAAATGGATTAATACATAGACTATATCTCAATAAAGCTATTTAAAAGAAAAAAGATAGACGTAATATTTAATATTTTATTCCTGTATTTCTTAGAACACATGCCCTCTTACCTCGAAGCCACAGCCCAGCCTGGCAGTCCAAACCTCTCATAGTCCCCTCCATAAATGTCTCGCACTAGTTTATCCACTTTGGTGCTATCTCCACGAGATGCCATTTCAAGAGCTTCTTCAAACGTGGTACAGCCAGTAAGAAGACAGCAGAGACCATAAAAAGTTCCTCCTCCAAGACTGTGATTAGAAATAAACAACAGAGTATTATAACTTCTCAGGAATTAGGAATAGGAAGGCAACATTTATGAATTTCAAAACCATATTCATAAATAAATCCACTCCTGCTACCACCCAATCATGCAGACGCCACTGGTATAAAACAAGTCTACAAAAAGATAAAAACAAGGTGTCTCATATACACCTTGAAGATACATATCATGTGAGCCAACAAGCAAAGTGGCAAAACGTAGAGCCCCCACCTCCCTTCCCATGTCCCAGTGCAGTCAGGGCATTTGCTGAGGATAAACAGCCTCTGGAGCAGACCAGCCCAACACACCTGGAATTATACTGACACATACTCTCCATGCGTATTCCCTAAGTCATTCTCATCCAAGCACCCTGTCACCGTGGCTCACAGGTCCCCCACCACACCAGACTCCTCTATTAATGTGTTTTTCCCAAAAATTACTCCTCTCATTCTTTAACTCACACCTATCAAAAAACTCAATTCTCCCAGTCCCCAGATCCTTGTTTTTCAAGTGACCTCTAATCCTTAAACCAAAACCTATTCATTCTCTTCTTCCAGCTAACCTTCCCTTTTCAGACTACCTTCCCCCAATCAATTTTCTATTGATCAGTACTTCAACTTCTAGATCTCATGTCATCCCCCGGTCACATGTATGTAGGTGTGTGCCTGAGTGCGTAATGTGTAGATGTATAAAATCTACACAGGGGGCTGACCAGTTAGCTCAGTTGATTAGAGCATGGTGTTATAACACCAAGGTCAAGGGTTTAGATCCCTCTACCAGCCAGCTGCCAAAAGAAAAAATACGTATATGTTTTTAAAAATAAATCTATACAGGTTTCAAAGCTGGAACATTCTATTGCCTTTCTTTATAGATGTTACCTAGTAACCTTAGCTACTCTGTATATGCACACCATAAACTATCTGATGGCAAGGACTTTAGGCTTAGTGAGTCTACTGATGCGATATTTTATGAAACAACTATGGTAATAAAATCTTGAGCAATAGAGATTAAAGAAAAGTAGGTCATGAAATCAGAATTTTCAAAGAGAAACATTTGCATAACCCCAGAAAAACTTAATTTTTTCATATAATTTTAACAAGTTCTTGAAGGTGTATATGTAACACCTGAAAACTCAGTTAACCTATTATGATATTAAGGATAAACAATGATTTTTAGTGGTTGCCTAAGGCAGGTAGGTAGGTGGGAGAGAATGGTGAGTGACTGCTAATCGACAGGGTAATGAAATGCATTAAAATTAGATAATGGTGATGGTTACACAATCTGTGAACACACTAAAAACCACTGAATTGTACACTTTAAATGGGTGAATTTTAGGGCCAGCCCTTGGCTCACTTGGGAGAGTGTGGTGCTGATAACACCAAGTCAAGGGTAGATCCCCTTACCGGTCATTATATATAAAAAAAATAAATAAAAATAAAAATAAAAAT